GCTGAAGCGAGTACAACCTTTTTTCTAGGAATAGAAGGGCAAGCCTGGTTTAACTACACAAGCACGGAGGCAGCCGTTGGTATAAGCGATGAGTGGATGATGACGGTCTTGCACTGTTTGAGATGTCTTCCTGACTTGCTGGAGTCTGTGGGTAAGAGGCAGATAGGCGCGGACACAGCACCAACAGAAAAATGTGCCGGCAGAAGGGCCACATGAAGACGTACGAATGCACAGGGCACGGACTCTCCGCTTGCGTTCGCATGTCGTCTTGCCAAGTCCTTAAAGCTACAGCCACAGAAAGCAAGACTTTTGCCGCTGCTGCGCTCCTACATATCTGCATTCATTCATGTGTTTGCACACGAAGCCCCCTAAGCCCTAAACCACACAACCCTAAACCCTAAAATCCTCGGTCCAGGAGTCGATAGAAGTGCAACAGGTGGCGCACTCGCAAGGCATTGCGATTTAGGGTTAGGTTTGAGGGTTGAGGGTTGAGGGTTGAGGGTTGAGGGTTGAGGGTTGAGGGTCGAGGGTCGAGGGTTGAGGGTTGAGGGTTGAAGTGTTGAGAGTTGAGGGTTGAGGGTTGAGGGTTGAGGGTTTAGGGTTTAGGGGTTAGGCCGGGTCTAGTGTTTAGGGTTTTAGGTTTTAGGGTTTAGGGATGCAGCAAAGGCCCTCGTTTTAGGGCTCTAAGGTCTTAGGCTGCATTAAAGCCTGACATGCGCTCACGCGCGCAATAATTGGGGCGGAGGGGTGCAAAAAAACTAGGCCACTTTTGAGGGTACTTGCTATATTGCAGAGCCTGTGTTTTTGGGCAAACCCGAGCGGTACCCAAACGGAGGGTCTTCTTAGTTTAGAGAGCCAAGTGCTCCAAATCGACTGCAAGCTCCAACCCATTTCACCTTTAGCATTTGGGGTTCGGGGGGAGGGGGGGGGAGGGGTAGGGCCCTCAAGCCTTAAAGCCTACAAACCTTTCTCTGTCCTTAGCAAACTTCTCTTAGCCACCTGCCCTGGTCTCGAAGAAGCATTAACCTCCGGGTTAACCTAGGCTTCAAGGACCCTAAACCTGGGCAGGCATGCACGTGTCAGCTGCCCTGAAGAATCACACTTACCATGGCCGAACAGTGACAGCGCCACTGCCGCCTTGATTGCAGTCTACAGGTTTGGTACTTCAAACATTCCAGGGCTACAGGTCTTTCCTCATGCGTATGTTTGGTGCTGACGGGAATGCATGTGGGTTTTTGTCAGGCCCAGAACGCCCAGGTTCGGCTTTGCGGGGTTCGGGTCTTAGGGTTCAGGTTCACGAGGCGGGTTGCATGTTTGTTCTGAGATTAGAGTTTAGGCGTTAGGGTTCATCCCTTCCCCCTTTTATTAAACACCCCCGAATCATGAAAACACTTTCCGGAAAATCCTGCCGAAACCGACCTCGCCTTTTAAGCCCTATTCCGAATTAGGGAGTGGGGCTCCCAAAAGAAAACCAACCAACATCCTTGTGCCGGTCTGTGCGAGTGGGTGAGTGAGTTGAGTGAGTTGAGTGAGTGAGTGAAAGCCTCTGTTTGAGCCGTGCTGTGAAGCATGAGCTGGTCTCTGACTCTTTGTCTCTCTCTCTCTCTCTCTCTCTCTCTCTCTCTCTCTCTCTGTGCCTAGATCCTAAATCCTTTTGACCCCAAACGTGACATTTGGATAAAAACCATCCCCCTGATGAAAACACATCTCGAGTTTCTGTTGGGGGGGGAGGGTCTCCCCCCGTTTATCAGGGGGAAGGGATTAAGTGTCTAGGGGAACAAGGTGGGGCCAGTCTTGCAGCTACTGCTGCTGGCCGCATGAAAAACTGAACCCTTAGCAGTTTAGGGTTAGGATTTTCAGTCGCTTTTGGGATAGGGTCCCAAAGCCTGCATCCACAAACCGATTCCCGACCGGAGGTTCTTGCATTTTGCCAGCCCACCAAGAGCCCCCTGCTGAGGACATCGAACGTAAGAGATCGTCAGCCATTCCACTACTTGGTCTCGAGCTGAGGATTGCGTTCGTTTGGGGAGGGGGGGCGGGGGAAACGCTGAGGTGCTGTTTGGATATCTCTTCTGGTTCTGGTAAGTTCTGGTAGATTGTATGCTTTATTTAGTTCCCCAACAAGTGATGGCTTAGTCTGCTGTATTTGCAAGAGAACGGGGGATCTTTCACGGAAACGCCTCCGCCCTAAATCATCGGCGAAACCTGCTGAGCCTTTCGCGTGTGGGTTTCTACGAATCATGTAGGAAGGGAACCCCATGCACGAAATGCATCCTTCCCAGCCAAGGTCATTGCACAGAGATTGCCAACCAAAGTTATTATCTCCATCACGCCTGGTGCGGAAGACTACGTTGGAGGGTATCAGACTCTTTGGCACAAACTGACGCCTCATGTGTACTGTGTACGTCATTTTCCTGCAACTCCCTACGGTTTCCTGCGCCTGTGCACACTTAAGGAACCAGTGGACCATGGCCAACCAGCAGCATTGGCAATGGCGGGCTTCCCCGTGGCACTGGCCTCCGCCTGCATGCGCACCCCCGCCTAGCCACACGGTGTCCTATGGCGCCTACCCTGGCCACCCCTACCCGCCCTACCCGCCTCATTACAAGCCGGAAGCCCACTTTCATCAGCCGGTGCCGTACTAGCCTCGAGGGGTTTAGGAACTTGATGTTTCGGGTTTAGGGCTCTCAGGAGATTTAGGTTACACCCTAACCACTAAACCCTAAACCCTAAACTCTGGGCTCATATGGCTTCATCGGCTTGACAATACCTGCACCCCATGCAATGGCCATGGGTCACCAACGGAAGCGCGGGACTGAAATCCGACTCTTCTATATCCCCCTTGGGAATTATTTTTCTTATTTTTGTTTGTATAAAACTCAAGAGGATATTAAAAATACTATTGTTAGCAAGGTTCTAAGGGGAGTGTAGTCTTGGACTACTGGGTAGCCCAGTGGTACCGGTAATTACCCTTTTTGTTGGTTCTGGGTTCCCTTAGAGTCAACTCCAGAAAAGTTGGAACATGATTTTAAGGATGATTAGAGCTGGGATTCCATTTAGTATACTTTTTTGCTGTATGGGGGGGAAAAGGATGTTAAAGGATGTTCCAACTTTTTCGAGTTTACTGTATAAAGTAACCAACCCAAACAAAGGTGCCCTTATTATAATGTGGCTACTGGGCTACTACGACTAGCATGGATCCTTGTAGGCACCCACCCGCCCCCCAGGACTTGGGGTTTAGGGTTTAAGGTTTAAGGTTTAGGCTTTAGGGTTTAGGGTTTAGGAGGTTTGGGAGGTTTAGGGGGTTTAGGCTTTAGGGTCTAGGGTTTAGGGTTTAGGGTTTAGTTTTTAGGGCTGTTGCTTTTTCTTTTTTTGTAAGTTTTCTAGAGGGCGTGCTGTTGGAGGATTCCTAGCTGCTGCAAGCGAAGGACACGTGGCCCTCGTCGCCAGCGCAGCTTTATATCCCTGAGACCATCTTGGAGGGCTAAGAGGCGGCAATCGCGCCACCTTGCTGTTGCTTAGTAGGGAATGAGTGAATGTGGTACGAGGTTTCGGGTTTAGGGTTTCGGGTTTAGGGTTCAGGGACCCTAATCTCTTACAGGGTATATATAGGGGGATATATGGTACCTCATTCCCTCATTCCCTACGAACCAACAGTAAGTCATGTAAAATCACATGGGCCGCTTGCACATTTAAGCACGGTAGGCCCTTTGGGAGAGGTTTCGCAGTATCCCTTTTTAGAAATCCAGAGGACATTGTTTAGGGTTTAGGGTTTAGGGAGCTGTATGGGCCAACCTGGTACCGTCTGGCATGCCCGAGCTGCATCAGGGCTCGATTTAGGAGCAATTCATGCACGCCCTCTTCGTCCAATACCATCAGCTCCGCTTGCTCTCGCCTGCCTTGTGCCTCAGAAAGGGCAGCAGCGGTGCGAACGCAGGCAGCTGGCAGCTGGGAAAAGTCGGGACCTGATGTTCGACAAGGAGCCCCTAAACCCCAAACCCCAAACCCCAAACCCTAAACCCGAAACCCCTAAACCCTAAACCCTAATTAAACCCTAAACCCTAAACCGATTATTGTGGTTGTGTTGGTGGCCCAGTGAGAGCTGGGAATCCTACATCTCAAGGGGCCCCGAAACAGGGCCCGAACTTCAATCTACTGAGCCCTCGACCCTAAGGATCCCTAAGGTATATACCAACAGCCCTCGATGATTATCTCTATTAAGGGTTGTTCGTATAAGGGGGAACCCAATATGTAGGCCTTAAGGGGCGTCAAGCCCTGGAACCCCGATGGCGCTAGGCAAGCCGCATTCGTCAGCAACCTCGTCAGCCCTAAAACCGAGTTTGGGTTCCCTGAAGGCTTATGGGGAAAAGGGGTGTTAGGGGATAGGGTTTTAGGTTTAGGGTTTTGAGGTTTACGGTTTCGGGCTTTGTTTGTTTTGATTTTTGGGCTTCAGGGTTCAGGCAAGTTACCACACACATGTCACGCGCGCGGGCGGGAAGGCTAGGATTTTTGGTTGCCTTGGTTCCCTGTTCTCCGTCGACCCCAAACCCAACCCACTGGGCGTCACGGATGAAGGGGATGAACCGAAGCCGAAGTCAAGCCCGAGTCACGGCCTAAATCCTTATCGGTTGGGCTTCCTAGATGGATTTGGGGGTTGGGGTTCGGTATAGGCTACGGGTTGCAGTAGGGTTGGTGGTTTTGAAAAGCTCACAGAGTCCCGAGAGGCCACCTCAAAAAAAGGGCTAAACCCTAAACCCTCAACCCTAAATTCCCACCCGGCCTGCTAATCATGGGCTGTGGCCCCAAGGGACGGGAGAGGAACATAGCGGGTACATTCGCCAGTCTTTTGGGTAAGACTCGGACATAGGTCATATGGGTACTTCCCAAAATCGGGGTACCCCTGTTATAACCCAAATCGAATAGTAGAATTCCCTTAGAAGGGACCCCCAAAAAAGGGTCCCCCTATTCTCGGAAACCACCATGTGAGAGTGCCTGCCGAGGACTGGACCCTTAACCCGGATTTCTTCGGCAAAGCTTGTTGGAGGGCCGCGTCAGCGACGAAGGCAGCTCCTTCCGGTAGGTTCCATACTGAGCTTGAGATTCGGGTGTATCTCCAAAATATTCATAGTGGACTGTAGTCCCTACTTCGGAGGGGTATAGCCCATCATTATCCTTATGGAAAGTCTGGCCGGGTTTGCAGTAGCGTAGCAGAATCTGTACCTCTACTGCACGTTCATCTAACACTATAGACCTTGTAAACCCTAGACTCTAAACCCTAAATCCAAAACTTAAACCTCAGATTCTGTCGGGGTTACACTGGGACACTGGTACTGCAGGTGGCGAGAGCAGTTCCGGATTACTTGAACAGGAAAACGGCTGCATGTTTTCTGCTGCCCTAAAGAAGTGCCAATAAAGAGTTCGAAAAGTCGATGCAATCCGCCAGCAAAATCCCATGACCTACCCTGCTGTTTGGGGGAAAGACTGGGCTCCGAGAACCCTAAGCCTTAAACCCTAAACCCTAAACCCTAGCGGCTATCAGGCATGCGGAAGCGCAACATGACCCTGAAACCGCAAGCCACACTCTTTCCTAGGGTGGTAAAATGGGATATCCCCATACTTTGGGGTTAGACCCAAAACCCTATTGTGGTTAAACGTTTATACAGGGCCCCTTTGCATGTGACTCGCCATCCTCCCTGTTGAGTTGCAGGCGTTCTCGCCGGCAAGGCCCGATGAGAGTCGGTGGGTTAGGATCGATGCTGCAGTTGGGGAGGTAGCCTCTGTGGGACTGGGGAGCTTCGGGCGTATTGCTTTCAGGGTTCAGGGTTCGGGGTTCTTGCCACATGGAAGAAGAGCGTTTTGCGGGGCGATGGTTCTGCAACCTCTGTAGCAAGTTCTCCGCTGCATTGATTTAGGGCTTAAGGTTTGCCAGGTTTAGGGTTTTAGGGTTTAGGGTTTTTAGGGGTTTAGGGTTTTAGGGGTTTAGGGTTTTAGGGTTTTGGGGTTTTAGGGTTTTAGGGTTTTTGGGTTTTAGGGTTTTAGGGTTTTAGGGTTTTAGGGTTTTAGGGTTTTAGGGCTTTAGGGCTTTAGGGCTTTAGGGCTTTAGGGCTTTAGGGTTTTAGGGTTTTAGGGTTTTAGGGTTTTAGGGTTTTAGGGTTTTAGGGTTTATGGGTCTCAGCTTCATGGTTTAAGGTTTCGCCCTCCAGGCAGGGACAGAAGCCCTCAACACTTGAAATGCATCGTTCGAGGTGCCCTAGCGATAGGGCCGTGTCGTGTTGTAACATCGGGTTCCCAAGTCCCCAGAGTCCAAGAGGAACCTCAAAGTTTGGACAAACCATACAGGAGTTGCAAAGATACTGTATTGTTGAAACTGGGCCCCGCTGTTCTGTTGAACTAGGCGCCCCGATGTTAGCCACGAGCCCTGTTCGAAAAACTCCAAACCCCAAACCCCGCAAACGCCAATGTAGAACGACCCCCCGTCCTCCCTCCTCCATCCTACCCCCCCCCCCCCCCCCCCCCCCCAAACCCCAAACCCCAAACCCCAAACCCCAAACCCTAAACCCTAAACCCCTCCTCCAAGAACGCCAGGCCCGGCTCAAAAGAGTTTCCCATGGGTGGCTTTGGAATCGGGCAGAGGTCTGGTGCCTAAGGTTGGGATTGCGTTCAAATTTAGAATCCTAGGGTGTAGGGCTTGGGGTTTGGGATTCGGGTTGAAGATCAGGACTTAGGGTTTGGAGGTGCAGAGTTTAGGTTTTGTTTGGACACCCAGAATGTGTTTTTTTTTGGCAAAATCGCATCCACTTTCTCTGCGATACCTAACCTGAGAAGGACCCCGACAGACAGGATCTTGAGTCTTTAGAGAACTACCCAGATTGTTAGTTTGGGGTTTAGGATTTAGGGCTCTGGGTTTCGGCATCCTTGCTCTGGCAATCGACTGGCGATGCGGGGAGGGGGAAGGGAGAGGAGGGGCTCACCAGGTCACTGTCCACCCATCTGACCTCACCTTCCCGCACCTTCCTACTTAAATCCTGCCAAATTAATCTACACCTCAGCTCGACTCTGTGTAAACCAACCCAAAACCATGCCTAAACCCCACCTTGCTTAGTCCCTACTGCCTTGCCCAGCGGGGGGACTTTACATAACATCACAGCAGAATGTAAAGTACAGGGCCAGGCATGATTGCGGGAGCAACAGACGCGCGCATGTGCCAGGTATCTCCTTTTCGTTGGTGGGGGCCTCAGGTCTGCCAGGTCGACCCATCACGCCGCTTCATGGGGGTTCTGAGGGGGTTTTAGTGGGGCTGGGGGTTCTTAAGAGGGTTTTTAGGGCCGCAAAAATGCTTCGTGATTCCTGGTGACTCTGTGGGGGGTCATGGTCGTTCTGAAGGCTCGACACAAGAGACCCTATACTGCCATCCTTCGCAAGGTTTGCCGCTGGCCCTCTACTGCAGCGACTGCCCCCACCTCTACCAAATCTTGTTCGGCACTCAAGACTGGCTCAAAGGGTGGGGAGGTGCAGGGCTGAGGTTGTATTTGTGGGCTTACAGGAGGATATGTCCAATAGGACTCGTCTGACATGCACTTCCGCACCTACTGCACATTCGACGAATGTGTTCGCGCTTCGCTTCGTGCAGGCTTGCGACCTTACCGAACAAAAGAGCGATCTTGTAGTGGTGCTTTAGACGACATCAAGAGCATAAATGCCCCAAGTCTTCCTTGACAACACCCTGCGTCTCGGTTCTTTCATGTTGCGCCTTGGATGGGAGCCGAGAACCCCTCAACCCCTCAACCCTGCATCGCAACGCTGGAACCCCCAAACCCTGCATCCTAAACCATAAACCGCGAACCCCAAATCCAAACTCCTAACCTGGCGCTAATCCCAACTCCTAAGCCCTTAACACAAGCGCTGGGTTCAGAGGCAGCTGGAGTCCGAACTGAGACCCCCTGAAGCGGCCAAAAGCCTCCTCGAAAACGGGCGTTGTCGTGAAGTTGCACTCAGTTGAACCATTTCAAGCTTTCGGGCTTAAGATGTAGGGTTTTGGGTTGAGGGTTTAGGGTTGAGAGTTGAGGGTGTAGGGTGTAGGGTGTAGGGTTTAGGGTTTAGGGCTTAGGGTTTAGGGTTTAGCGTTCCCGAAAAAAACCAGCGGCAAGCCCAGGCAGCGCATGCGGGGATTGGCTTCTGGCGAAGGATCCGCGGTTGAGGGATTCAGGGTTTGAGTTTCAGGGTTTAGGGCTTTGGGTTTTGATTTTTGGGTTGAAGGTTTAGGGTTTAGGGTTTAGGTTTTTTAATGGGTTCTTTTGTAGGGATTTATGGGTTTGGGGATTGGAACGGTCAGGCACTTAGGATCCAGGAACTGTTTAAGCTAGGGTCTCCTAGCGAAGGAGCCCTGCTGACCACAGCAAATCTCCGGGCCGCGCAGTTGCCTCAGCTTCTTCAAATGAGGGTTTCCTAAACTCGGTGTACCTTACCTTATTGGGGTTCTTATTATAGGGGAATTCGATTATTTGGGGATCAAAATGGGGGTCCCCTGCTTTTCGTAAGAGCTTTTTCAAATATTTTCAAATGGGGGTTTACGATAATCGGGGTACCCTAATGGGTCCTAGAAGGGGATCCTACTATTTTGGGGTCCACATTAGGGGTCCCCCTATGTTCGTAAGCTCCCAAATAAGTTCTTGAGGTTTAGGAGTTTAGGAGCTTTTGCCCTGCACACCCAAGAGTTTCCTAAACCCTGTCAACTGCCCAGAACCCTCAAACCAAACGCCGCCCTGAAGCCCAAAACCGACCTGAAGACCTCAAACCACCCTGAAACGCACCCTAAAACCCTAAAGCCTGAAACCCCGTGAACCACCCCAGAAACACAGCCCACCCCAAAAAGCCTTAAGCCACCCTGAAGCGCATGAAAGCCCAAGAAAAACCACCCCTAAAGTCACCCTGAGCCACCCTGAAGCCCATGAAAGCCCAGCAAAAGATGCCCCAAAGCACGGGGTTTGGGTTTAGGGTTTAGGGTTTTGAGGTCCTAAAACCCTCAACCACATTACAGGCCCGAAGCCCGAAGCCGCGAAGTAGAAGCCCAAACCACCAAAGAAAATGGCACCAAGTCATGAGCCACTACTGGGCATCGGGTTTGTATACACAAGAGCGGGAGCTTCCAACAGGTGTGGCCCTCAACTTTGCAGTCAACCTTAAGCCGCGACCCTGAAGTAAGCCAGCAGGTCAACGAAGAGGAATTGAACCTCGGGTGCATAAGCAGGGTGTTTTTTGTTTCTGAAACAGCCACCCAACAGCGACCCAGCATTCGATGATTGCCTGACGACTGCGCCAGCTCGCTCTCCAGTCCCTGCAAACCGCGCCGCATGGCAAGTAGTAAAACCCAACACCCAAAACTCAACCCTGTACCGCGACCTCAAACCCTTAAGCCCTAAACCCTAAACCCTTAAGTCCTAAAATCCCCTCGCAGCAGAGGCTCGACCACGACGGACGTGGCGGCCTCAGGAGCCGAAGTGCTGTGACGCAAAAGTAGCGAGGAAAGCTACGGACCGGTTTGCTTCGTGGGAGGAGGAAAGGGAGTTTAGGGTTTAGGGGTTAGGTTTAGGGTTTAGGGTTTTTGGTTTCTGGTTTCTGGTTTAGGGTTTAGGTTTTAGAGTTTACGTAGGGTTTGGGGTCTAAGGGAGGCTTGCGACGTACGCGTGCAGGATCTTTCCGCAGGACTTCAGACAGTGGAGTTGTGTGAGAGGATCTTCCGGATTGTAGAAGAGGGCACGCACGCGAGGAAAGCCAGCTGACTCGGAACGGTTGGCTGTGATCCTTGCCTTTGGCCGCGCATGCTGCGGATTTGAGTCCTCGTTCTGCTGACCCCCGAGCCCTAAACCCTCAGCCCTCAAACCAGATCTTGTAACCCTAAACCCTAAACCCTAAGCCCCAAACCCCAAACCCCAAAGCCCGGCATTCGTTTTGAAATACGGCCTTCACCCGAGGCCCCTACTCTGTCAGGGCCTCGGACCTTCTCGGATCTTGTTCGAGACGACCCCTGCCATGACTCTGAAATCACCTACCCTGCTGTAACTTAAACTTACTAAGACCCGGAGTAGGCCCTTATTCCCTTTTCAGGGTTGGGGTTCCCTTATAATCCCCGTAAAAACGAGAAGGTTACCCCTTGTTATTCCTAGGTTACTCCTGGGTCTCGCTTAGCTAGTCTTACTTTGCTAGCTCAACAATTCAGGCACCAAACAACTAGCGGTTTATATTCAATACATAGTTATGCATGTGTGCATACGTAAATGCATATGCATGTTTTATATGCATGTGTATGTATACCTGTATATATGTATATATGTATATCTGTATGTATGTATGTATGTATGTATGTATGTATGTATGTATGTATGTATGTATGTGCTCATGCATTTGATTTTGCCGACAGACAGCAGTGCTCCGGACGGGGTTGGCAGATGCACTTATTGACGCCAATGTGCTGTGTTCTCGAAGCCATTTGCAGCTACAGCCTACAGGAAACCAGCGGCGTCTTCGTTGGGCAACGAACCACTCATTTCGCCGCGACCCCCCCCCCCCCCCCCCCCCCCGGTTGACTCCATCATCTCCTCAACCTGCAACTTCCAGCCACCACACGCACAACCGTAACTTAAACCGTAAACCTGAGCCCTCAGCCATGAAGCTTGTCAAGGACCTTAAATGAAGTTACCAGAGCAAGGGATCGAATACCAATGAGAATACATCCCTATCAGAGCATCTTAAGCCTAAGCCCTCAACCCGAAACCCGTGTCCCTGAAACATTACACCCCAAGTTCAATGTAGGCAACTTACCTCGAGAAAAAGCGAAACTTGAGAACTGGAGGTGTTAATCTATGCCTTAGTCGCAGCGCTGCAGGCCCCTGTGGTTGAAGGGCTTAGGGTTTAGGGTTCAGGGTTTGGGGCTTAGGGTTTGGGGTTTAGGGTTAGTTCGGGCTTCTTGTCTCTAAGGCTTCGGACAGGTACATGTCCCGAGACCGTTGATAAACTCGGGGGGACTTGTATGCTAAATTTACTTGCTAGGTCTGCGTAGGGAAGTAGCCACCCCCAAATCATCCCTTGCAAGGTCTATAGAGTCTATAGAGTCTATAGAAGGGGATCAAATGGTGCCTCAATGCCCTTAACCCAAGATTCAGAGCTCGTAAGAAGATGGCCGTTTGGGGAACCACTCGGTCCTGGCCCTAACCTCAAGGGATTAAGACTCGTACCCCTGAGGTTGTACCCCTAAAGGTTCTCCTTAACATACTCCCAATATGGCCCTTATACTACCTGAAGGATCTTCAAAAAGGGTCCCCAAAACCCAAGGGTACAACCTTACGGGTCCAAGGCCCGGAACTTAAACCCGGCCGGGAAGGCTTTGGAAGCCACGCGCGCCGGATTGGGCTCCGCTGCCCCACAAGGCCTTGGCGGTTTTGTTCTGTGGGCTGAGATGGTCGGTTCAGGGTTTATAGTAAACTCCAAAACTTGGAACATCCTTATCACTAAAAAGACTCCTAGCTCTCATCATAAACCATGTTCCAACTTTCTGGAGTTTACTGTATGCCCAAAGGGCTCCCTAGTTCAGAGCTTAAAACTCGAGGGCTCCCCAAAACATTCGTCTACTTTTGTGCGGGGGGTGCCCTCAACAGTGTGGGGCCGTGTTCGGAAAAAGGGGGTGCAGCTTCGAGAACTGCCCCACATGGCTTAGGGTTGTTGGGGCCTGACGACCTGACGCGGGGTCGATGGGCTGAGGAGTTGCGGCACTTAGGGTCTTAAATGGGTCTTACACGGGGCTTGTAGGGCTCAGGGTTCTGGAGCTTGGAGTTTAGGGTTTTGCATGGCTGGGGCTCAGGGTTTGAGAGTCGCACCCTTTTAAGAGTCCCTAAAATGCCCTTATAGGACAAAACCCTTGGAACCCAAGAAAGCTGCAGGCTTGGAGGTACTTGCGCCCAAAGGCGGCGTTCGGTGGCCCAGCGCAGGGTTTAGGGTTAGGGTTTAGGGCTTAGAGTTTCGGATTTGGGGTCTAGAGTTTATGGTGTTAGGGCTTAGGGCTTAGGGTTTAGGGCAGGGCGAAGACCTGAAATTTCGAGGACTCCCATGTTTTGAGTGTTCTTGGGGCCCAAAAAAAGAGACCACCGGAGGGCTGAGGGCCTGTCCCTTGTTCCCTTTTTTAGGGCGTAGGTTCCCTTATAAACCCCCTTTAAGCCAAAGAGGGGGGCACACTGTTGATTCCTAGGTTGCTCTTGGGTCTAGGGGCTCAGTTTTTGGGGCTACTTTTTGAGCCGAAGGACTAGGGTTTTAGGGTTTTGGGATTGCGGGATTGCTGCTAAAGAGGTGTTTAGGCTTTCACGACACCCCTCCAAGTACGGGCTGCTTCTGCACAAGCCCTGAGCTGGAGGAGGAAGGCAGGAGCCCTCGCCAGCAACTCACTGACCAGGGTGGGGCGACGGTTATAACAAGCTCCAAAAGCGGGTATTCACCTGTCGCAGAGCTAATTGCCTCCGTGAAGCAGGGCGGCAGTGTTAGCATTGGAGCCGTACATCCCGACCTCTTGCAAAGGAGTCGCTGTATGACGATTGTCTTGGTGAAATGGCATCGGGTGCGCTACCAGTGGACCCCTCCAAGCCCGAAGCCCTACACCAACCCTAAAACCCTAAAACCCTAAAACCCTAAAACCCTAAAACCCTCAAACCCTAAGCCCTAAACCCTGAAGCCCAACTTCCCTGAGCCTTGAAGTTCAGGCCCTCATCTTCCGCGGCCTCTGGGTTCCCGAGGCGAGCTTGACAGGGCTTTAGGGCTTTAGGGAGGTTTTCTTGTTTTGGGGGGTGGGGGGGGGTTTTGGGTGGGTTTGGGGTTTATAGAGTTCATGGTTGGTTTGGGGTTTAGGGCGTTAGGGTTGGGTTAGTAGAGTGTTTAGTCTGTTTAGGCTACTGTCAGCGTTGAGGGCTGTTTAGCGTTCCTGCTTCAGATGTCAAAGCTTTGCTGACAGGGCTTTAGGGCTTTAGGGAGGTTTTCTTGTTTTGGGGGGTGGGGGGGGGTTTTGGGTGGGTTTGGGGTTTATAGAGTTCATGGTTGGTTTGGGGTTTAGGGCGTTAGGGTTGGGTTAGTAGAGTGTTTAGTCTGTTTAGGCTACTGTCAGCGTTGAGGGCTGTTTAGCGTTCCTGCTTCAGATGTCAAAGCTTTGCTAGGGTCAGGCTTTCGGGCGCCATCTGTGAGGCGGTTTATTAGGGCTTTAGGGTTGGGGCTCACGGTGCTACTGTATACAAGGTTTTTTTCTAAGGTTTAGGGCTGGGGTTGAGGTTTTCAACTGAAGGGTTTTTGGATGCAGGCTCGGAGTCTAAGTTTTCTACTAGGGGGAGGGGAGGGGCGGGGGGCCTGAACGTTTGTTTTTCAAGTTGCCTTGCTGCAGACTGTGTACGTCCGCACCCAGGATTGGCAAACCCTCAACGAGTCATAGATGAGGTTTGGGCTTCAAGCCCCGAAGCAATATGATCTGAAAGCTCTGAACCCCTAAACCCCCATGATCCCAGCTCCCTTACCTTGAAACCCCCAAAGATCCCAAAGCCTTTATTCCCTGAGCCCTTTGATCCCAAAGCCTTTACAACCCCAAGCCCTATGACCCCGAAGCCTGAAACCCTACACAGGTTATTGACGAGCACTGGGCCAAACCCTACACCCCATGATCCCAAAGCCTGTAAAACCCAAAACCCTGTGACCCCAACACCCCAAAGCCTGAAGCCCTACACAGGATATACTACACCGTATGACCCCAAAGCCTGAAACCCTACACAGGTTATAGATGAGCACTGGGCCGAGCACGCCTGGTCCTTCAACTCCTTCTCACGGAGCCGGGGGCTTGGGACCCTCATCTACAAAAGCCAAACCAAAAAACGTTCTTTTGGGACCCCCCCCCCCCCCCTGGTTAATTACTCTTAACCTTGTATTTTACAGTTCATGCAAACAATTGAGTTCTAAACCCTAAAGCCCAAAAGGAGTAACTAAGGGTGGTTTTGCCGCCTTCTATGAAAGAGAATAATAGATGACCCTGGCCATAGCTGCTCTTCGCCCCTGATGAAGCTTTCGAACCTCTTCTGCATCCTAACCTTCACAGCATCGACGCCACCTTACAGCAAACCCTAAACATCAAACCCTGAACCCCAAGCCCTAAACCCTAAACCCCAACCCCAAGACCCTCAAACCCTGAAACCCTAAAGCCCTAAAACCCTAAACTCAACTTCCGCTCCCAGGTATCGACGGGATTCTCTCCGTGCTCGGGCCTCGGATGCCTTTTACCGTTGTAGAGATTCAGCGGGTTTAGTGTTTGGGGTTTAGGGCTTAGGGTTTAGGGTTTAGGGTTTTCCGTTCATATACAGAGACGTTTGAATTTCGTGGATGAAGCAGCTCACGTGACAGATGTGTAGACTTCAGCCTAAGCCCCTAGAGTTCGAGCGATTTCAAATCCGCGAACCCTCAATACGAAGCCGGAATCGCTCAACTTCACAGGCGAAATTCTGAATCCCGCAAACGTCCGCAGCCCAAAGTCCTCCCGGCAACGTCCGCAGCCCAAAGTCCTCCCGCCCCCCCCCCCCCCGCCCACCTACAAGCCCGAAACCCTGCAAGACCTGGAAGCTTTGAAGATAAGACCCGCAGCCTTTGTGTGTCTTCAACAGCCCTACACCCCCAAACCCTAAACCCTCATAGAAACCCAAAGCCCCAAACCCTAAACCCCGATAATTAGGGAGGGTACCACAAGGTAAGGACCCTGTGGATCAAGCCGTAGACCCCAAAAGGGTTTCTGGATCAGCCCCGAACCTTGACTCTGATCTCAAGTGTTTTTCGCACACAGAGTTTAGGGCTTAGGGTTACAGGGTTTAGGGTATAGGGTATATACGGAATTAGGGCTTAGGGTTAGAGTTGAGGCGTTAGGGTCTTTTGCCCCAGGGTCTTTTGCCCCAGGCTGGGGTTCTATGCCAGCGCCAAAGGTAGCGCTGCGCAGGCTCGGACGTGCCGGCTTGAGTGGTGGTGCGTCCCCGGAATTGTCACAACAAATCCGGAAATTACACAGCAGGGTCCCCCCGCAATTCTGAAAACAACTTCGGGCGACGCGAAATGTCGGGGAGGCTTTTGAATTGAGTTGTTGTCTACTAGAGTCTAGAAACCGCTTCTGAACTGAGCCTGACCAGCCCTAAAACCTGAACCCTAAACCCTACACCCTAAACCCTAAACCTTGAGTTTGGATCCAGAAGCCTAAGGGCTGAGGCTTCCTGGCCTTAAGGCCTGAGGCTGCCGCACCCGGAAATCTTCAGTCTCCAGGTCAGCCTCAAAGCCAAGTTAAAAGTCACATACACTCATCCCTTCTGAAATCAATATGGATCCCTTTTGAACTCATCTGAAATTCATCCTTTTTAAAATCATACGGATCCTTTAACAAGACACACACACACTAAAGGCGGGGATGTTTTTGTTTTTTTTGTGGGAATCAGCATCCACCATTAGGATTAAGGGCAGCCGTGTTTAGGGGTTTAGGGTTTAGGATGTACGGAGGGCCGGGTCCCTTCATGGGGATCATTCTTGTGGGACAGCTTTCATCAACTGCCTTGGGCCCTGAACCCTAGAGCCTAGAGCCTAAAGCCTAACCATGGTGTTTGCTTCTTGGCAGGACGTTGCCGTGAAGGACCACCATGGGGGGCAGCACATGGAGCTCAAGGGACGGTTCAGGGCTTAGGCTTCTGGGGATTCTGGCCGTGAGGTTTCGGGGTAGACAGCTTCACAGTTGCCTTGGATTCACCAATAGGGTGTCGGCCAGTCTGGGCGATCAGGCATAGAGGCTCTGGCTTTTTACCTCATGGGTTGGGGATTGTTACGGGTTCAGGGCTCGAGGCTAGAGGGGCAAGGGCGGTCTTCTCAGCAGTGCTTTGCTGCAAGGTTTGCTGTAGTTTGTGCCCCACCATGCCATCGTGCCGCGGAAATGGGCCCCCACTTATTGTTCCTCTCCATCTCCATGCAATCAGAATCTCATCAAGCGTGCCTTTCGCGTTGGAGTTCGCCGACCCCAAGCCCAAAGCCCTAAACATTTGCATGGCCCCTCCGATCGGTTCCAGTGCACCCTAAAGTCTAAACCCTGCAACCCTAAGCCCTAAACTCTAAGCCGGAAATCCTGATCCGCAAGCCTCGTACTCAAGCCCGAAACCTCAGAGGCCCAGCTCTTAAACCCTGAAAGGTTTTAAGCCCTGAAACGTAGATCTTGAACTGCTTCAGGGGTTTTGAGGTGCAAACAGCCCTAAGAAGACGAGGGGCATAGGAAGCCTTTGTGGTTGATGTTGGTCCGGGAGCTTTGGGTTCTGCCTTGGGTTTGGGGTTTGGTGTTTAGGGTTTAGGGTTAAGGGTTAAGGGTTAAGAAACCCCAAATGCGCAGATGAGGACGCCCACATCCTGGTCTTGGCTTGGGCCTCGGGAAGCCACTGTCGTTTGGGGGTACCAAACACTTATATATTGCTTGGACCCTAAACCCTAAACCTTAAACCCCAAACCCTAAACCCTCAACCCTCAACCCTAAACCTTAAACCCTAAACCTTAAACCCTAAACCGGACCAGGTGGCCCGGCTGCGGGGCGAAGCCGGCGGTGGTCGCTGGGCCTATCCGGTGCCTTTCTCAGAAATTTGAGTGGGTTGGGGTTTAGAGTTTAGGGTTTAGGCTTTCGGGTTTGGGGTTTAGGGTTCGGGCTCAGGGTTTAGTAAATTTCGAGTCATTATTTGGGGTTGAGCTGAGGAAGGTTTACGGTTGAGGGACTAAGGTTCAGTGTTGAGTGGGGGCGTATAGGGCGGGCAAGGTGATCAGAATCTCTGGAAGAGTAGACGGATGCGTCTGGGAGTTGAGGGGCCCAGGATGCTGCCAGAAAGTTGATCCTGCAAGATGCCGCTTGGGTTTCGGGCTTAGGGTTTGGGATGCGTTTGGGGGATTGACTGTTCGGTCCTTTAGTTCATCTGCAAGCGGCGTTATGGGTGGCTGCAGTATGAAGGATTCGGCTGCTTTGGCAACTTTCCTGTCCAGTCTCATGTTGGCCATTGTAGCTGAAGCCTGCAGGTGGTCTTGAAAAGCTTTGCATATCCATGGGCGAATCTTGTTCACAAACTGCGGAGATGAAGAGCTCGTCTCCGCCAAAGGCTTAAACCCTAGCAGCATCTTCGTGACAGCTGGGAAATCACAATCCTAGGTTAGCCTGGTCATGGAAGATTTGGTAGGGTCTGGAGGAGGTCACATCGTACCCGCGCACGGTCTTGACCACGAACTACGAGCTGGGCTTCAGAAAAGTCAGGTGTACCTATTACTATCAGAGTGGCTCAAGCACCCAGATGTTATTGTATGGAAGTCGTCCATGCGCCGCGCCCGGAGACCATGGAAAGCCCGGGCTTACCTTGTCGTTGCTGTGGGACTGCTTGGTGGTCTGATGCGTGGCCCTGCGGCCTCCAGCCCGCCGTCCTGGTGGAAGGCCGGATACCCCCGGAGGGTGCACAGGAGCGTGGCCGAAGTGGAGCTGCTGTCAAACCTGGCGGTGCTTCTGGCGCCACAGGAGTCCATTGAAGATCTGTTTCGGGACTTTTGCGTGGAACCCTCGGAAGGCTGGGCATCGAGCCGCCTTAGCCCAGACTTGGCCTTGCCAGGGGTCTTGAAGAAGAAGAGCGCCATCTTGTTTGTGGAGTACGATGGCTACTATCGGCATCACCAGCCTGAAGGCATGGAGGCAGACGAGCGCAAGAACGCCGCTCTGGCGCACTATGCACCTGCGGGTTCGCATATCGTGCGGGTGGCCCATGCTGGGCGGAACTTTTCCCAGGCCCTGGACAACGTAGTTGAGGTTGTGGTGGACACATGGCAATCAGGTAGCAATAGGTCCATACTCAAGTGCGCATACCAAATCGCACAAAGCCTGGCGACTCGCTTGAGTGAAGTGCTGCATCCTGCATGGAAAGAGCGGCTTCTAGAATTTTCGCACGGCACGAGGCAACTCAATCTGGAGGCTGCGCGCAATTTCTCGAAGAAAGTTGTGTTCAGCAGAAGTGCGAGAAGAAGTGAGAACGAAAGACATGAGATATTGGCATTCATGCAGCAACATTTCTGTTTGGGAGACATGGTTGTGGAGAAGTGTCCTTCCTTGCTTGGTCTCAGCATCGAGGCGAACCTGAAACCCACGGTGGCATGGCTGCATTCCGTGGGTTTGAGCGATGATCAGGTGTCCAAGGCCATTGCAGCACATCCTCAGTTGCTTGGCTGTAGCATCGAGGCGAACCTGAAACCCACGGTGGAATGGCTGCGTTCTGTGGGTTTGAGCGATGATCAGGTGTCCAAGGCCATTGCAGCACAGCCTCAGTTGCTTGGCTGTAGCATCGAGGCGAATTTGAAACCCACGGTGGAATGGCTGCGTTCTGTGGGTTTGAGCGATGATCAGGTGTCCAAGGCCATTGCAGCACAGCCTCAGCTGCTTGGCTGTAGCATCGAGGCGAATTTGAAACCCACGGTGGAATGGCTGCGTTCTGTGGGTTTGAGCGATGATCAGGTGTCCAAGGCCATTGCAGCACATCCTCAGTTGCTTGGGTGTAGCATCGAGGCGAACCTGAAACCCACGGTGGAATGGCTGCATTCCGTGGGTTTGAGCGATGTTCAGGTGTCCAAGGCCATTGCAGCACATCCTCAGTTGCTTGGCTGTAGCATCGAGGCGAATTTGAAACCCACGGTGGAATGGCTGCATTCCGTGGGTGTGAGCGATGATCAGGTGTCCAAGGCCATTGCAGCAAAGCCTCAGTTGCTTGGCTGTAGCATCGAGGCGAACCTGAAACCCACGGTGGAATGGCTGCATTCCGTGGGTCTGAGCGATGATCAGGTGTCCAAGGCCATTGCTGTATTTCCTTCCTTGCTTGGTCTCAGCATCGAGGCGAACCTGAAACCCACGGTGGAATGGCTGCATTCCGTGGGTTTGAGCGATGATCAGGTGTCCAAGGCCATTGCTGTATTTCCTTCCTTGCTTGGTCTCAGCATCGAGGCGAACCTGAAACCCACGGTGGAATGGCTGCGTTCTGTGGGTTTGAGCGATGATCAGGTGTCCAAGGCCATTGCAGCAAAGCCTCAGTTGCTTTGTTACAGCATCGAGGCGAACCTGAAACCCACGGTGGAATGGCTGCATTCCGTGGGTTTGAGCGATGATCAGGTGTCCAAGGCCATTGCAGCACAGCCTCAGTTGCTTGGCTGTAGCATCGAGGCGAATTTGAAACCCACGGTGGAATGGCTGCGTTCTGTGGGTTTGAGCGATGATCAGGTGTCCAAGGCCATTGCAGCACATCCTCAGTTGCTTGGCTACAGCATCGAGAAGAACTTGTCTAGGAAGCTTAGCATCCTCCAACGTTGTTACACAGACATTTCCCTGGTGGACATGATCTCCGCTTTTCCTACCCTGTTGTCGTATAGCCAGTCTCGCCTTGTGTATCGTATGGGTGTTTTGAAAGTACGCGGAGAGCTACCGAAGCTCGTTTCTGTCATTGCACTAACGAACTCTCGCTTTGCACAGCGATTTCCGACGTGAGCGCTTGCAAGCAGCGACCACGCGCCTGAGCCACAAGGTGGCCTGAACAGTTTCGATCCCGTACCGCCAAGGTTGTGCCAATGCACGACGAGATGCATCTCACGGATCTCACGAGTCTTTGCAGCCTTGTAAAAGTATACTACGTTATAGATACGATTGCAATTGTATGTACAATATAGCATAAGCCAATGCAAATATCTCAAGATGTGGAAGGGAGCCCCTCATCAGAGACTCTTGGCTTTTCTGGACGCCCGAAACCCTAAGACCTAAACTGCAAGAAACACAGCCCCAAAGCTTAAACCCAAAACCCTAAACCGTAACCCTACCCCCTTTGACCCTCAACTGCCTCATGAAGCCCTCAACCAGGTGCAGCTGTTCGCGGGCGGGGAGTGCCACCCTGAGCTGACTGAGGTTTGCTACACGTGCTGGGGTTTAGGGGGGGTTTAGGGGTTTAGGGGTTTAGGGGTTTAGAGGTTTAGGGGTTCAGGGGTCTAGGGGTTCAGGGGTTTAGGGGTTTAGGGGTTTAGGAGTTTAGGGGTTTAGGGGTTTGGGTGTTTAGGGGTTTAGGGTTTTGTTTGGTTTAGGGGTTTGGGGCGTTGGGGGGTTTTGGGGTTAAGGGTTTCGGATTTTGAGTTTAGGGCTTCGGGTTAGGGAGTTTGGAGCTGGGGATGAGTTTGGTATGTTGTGTCTCTTGGGGCAAAAGTTGGGTCTTAGCCCATCGGTAGAAGCTGTTGGTCATCGAAGGTTGGAGCCAGAATAGGTTTGCTATGCTGGGTCTGAGTGAACTTGGGGCACTTTAGGCATAAACATACGACCAACCGCCGCGGCCAGGATGAGAGCCCCTCAGGAATTTCAGAGACGGTGCGGCAGTCCGTCTACCCCGCGCTCTCTAACACCAGAATCCCTACCTATCCCCGATGCCCTCAACCCCCAAATAATCCAGAGCCGACAAAAGTCCCTGAACCCGGAAACCCGAAACCGTGAGCCTTAAACCCCACAAAAACCCTAAGACCTTTGGATTCCCTGAGGAATGCTTTTCCCGCCAGCATCGAGCAAGAGGCCAGCATCTGGCTTTAGGGGTTTGTCGGGGTTTGTAGGGTTTGCCGGGTTATAAGGTTTTGGGGTTTTTGTTGCGATCATGGGTTCTAATTAGGATTTATGGGGTTTAGTACAGGTTTGTAGGGTACATTGGTTTTTTCAGGTTTATACGGCTTGTCAGGTTTGTGGGGTTTGTGATTTTTTGGGTTTAGGGTTGGGTTTATTGCAGGCTTATGGGGCTTTACAGGGTTTCTGATTTTTGTGTGGGGTTTGGGGGTTTATGGGTTTTAGGTTTTTTGGGCTTCTGGGCTGAGTTTGTCAGGATTGCTGCTGGTCCCGTACTGTACTGCAAGGGCCCCATACTTCCGACATGGGCACGATTTTGGCTACGCCAGAGCCCCCCCCCCCCCCCCCCCAACCTCCCAAAAAGGGACTTCAATTACGATTCTTGTACATGACGAAGCTGGGGGCCGTTACTTTAGGAACGTCATGATCTTTGCTCTTTCGGGTTTAGGGCAGCCAACATGGCTACAAGGGTTTATGGATGCTAGGGGCGAAGGTTGCCGGAGCGTTTGGTCCATTCAACTCAACCTTCAGGAACCCCGACACCCGAAGCTTTAAAGCTCTGAAAGCCTGAAGCCTAAATAAGCTCCACCCACCCACCGTCCTCCCCCCCTCCCCCAATAAAGCTTTCTACTCTGCAGCCAAAAAATCTCCAAAGGCCCTAAATCCCCGGGGCTCGACATCTCCGACGCCTGATCCCTCGGCAGGTCCTCGTTCCGCCATTCACGAGGTACTACTTTGAGCCAGAGTCGGAGGCAGTCCACGGGGCACAGTCTGAAGGGTTTGGTTCGGATGCAGGCCCTAAGCACCACAGGACTAAACCCTAAACCCTTATGCAAGCAGTTGGTTTTTGCAGGGCGCGACCCATGAAATCCGAGAGATTCGATCTTCCAGCAACCGAAAACCCCGGCCGCGGCTTCGCCACAGATCCCCAAACACCCCTTGGCCCCTCAATGAACCGCTAAACTGTTTACACCCCAAACCCCAAAAGAAAAAGCGCTCAATGAACCCCGAACCCCCCACCCAAATAAACAAGTGCGTGTGTGTATATATATATACATACACATCAGCCCCAAGCCTCAACGCCTGAACTCTCCCCCTAAACCCAGTCTCTGTGAAAACCATAATTAAGGCGCTTCAACCGTACTAAAAGCTACCCACGAACCTGTCTAATTAGGTGCAGGTCACCCAGGGGAATGTGGACTATAAGGAGCTCTTTGACGGGTCACATACCAAACGGCTCTATTCGCAGTACCTCGTTCCCCGAATCCCTACTACGAACCACTACGTATCCTCAACACTGACTCCCGAAGTAGGCTGGAGACCCTACAACCCTGAAACCCTCAAACCCTCAAACCCCATCTGGAAGCGACCTGCTCAGTTGCGGAGCTCCCAGACGCCGGAAGAGCGCCACAAAAGGTGCGCCGCCTAGGGTGGGAAATGGTCTAATATCGTTCGGTCATTTTTCTAAAACCATGCGGTTTAGGGTTCGGGCTCCTGGGCCTGGAACCGTTGCTTTTCGAAGCGTATGGCTGGTTAAAGGGAGAAGGAATCCGTAAGGCCTTTTCAAGAGCAGCTACTAATGAAAACCCATGGCATGGCTTGTACAGTATGGCATGTAGGATTTTCTTGTGAGTGTCCGAAGAAGTTAGGTTCAAGGGCACCCTTAAACACCTTAAGCCCACATTTTGTTTGAAACCCTTCTTTGGTGGTATCTCAACCCTAAACCCTAACAACTTATTTTTGACCAACACCTTTTCAGGCTTGTTTATCAACCCACGGGTCTCCCAATTCAGGCTTCAGGGTTTTGGCTTGAGGGCTTCGAGGGTTGTTAGGGTTGGCGTTTTTTACATAGTTTTTTAGGCTTCTCAGTTTTGTTTTTTTTAAGAGGGTCCTTCAGGCTCTCGCATTCAGGCGCTTAGGAGGGACACAGGCAAGAGTAGGGCGGTTGCATCGGCTGCCATCGCTGCAAAGCAAGCGTGGAACCAACTAGAATAGTTCAGTCCCTCGAACTCAACGGAATCTCAGCTCGGGGATCCAAAACCCCTAACTCTAAACCCTAAACCCTAAACCCTAAACCCTAAACCCTAAACCATAAACTAAACCCAAACCCTGAGCCCTACACGCTAAGCCACTGCTTGTGCAGAGGCAGTGCGCTCTTGAAGCGCGTTGGTCGGTGAAACTGGCTGAGGAGCTGCACCACGTGGGGTTCAGAGGAACATTCGATTTAGGGTTTAGGGTTTAGGGCTTCGGGCTTAGGGTTTAGGGTTTAGGGTTTACAGTCTTACAGGGCACGTGCGTTTGGCACGCTTGCGCTGTCTCACGTCCTGTTGTTTGTCAACATCCGGCTCAATACAACCAGATTTAGATAAGCAGTCTGAGAACCCTTAAGCCCGAAACCCTTCAAAGCCCTTAACCCGAAGCCCTAAACCCTTAACCCTGAGACTGTACGCCCCTCAAAAGCCCCTCCCGGCGCCACCCTTCTGGATCCATTTAGCGTTTATAAGGTTTAGGGTGATGGCGGAGTCCTGGCGCGACTATACCGCCGAGGGCCCTGTGCCCAGCGGTGAGCATGTGGGTGTTTGGCCCCTTGGCTTATGATTGTGGCAGTCTAAGGCATAGTGTTTGTTTGTGCCCGGAGGAGGGTTCATCTAAAGCACCATTCCGGAAGCACCCCCCCCCCCCCCCCAAACCAAACAGAGTATATGGGTTCTTGGGTACATAGCCCGAAAATCGTACTATCATAGACCCTCTAGGGTTGCCTGATTGGAGCGCGCTGTGTGGCTCAGCCCAACCTCAGGCGGACATGACTGGCGCCTCTGCAAAGATTCTACAGTTTGGCCTTAGAACGCACGCGGTTTGTTTGCATGCTTCGTTGAACCGAAACGTGTAGTAATAATGAATTATCATTTGTGAACTCACTGAGCAGCGGTCAGCATGAAAAAAAAGCTGCATATGGCAAATTCGGGCGACAAGAGAATTCGGAGCTAACATCACCGTCGCCGTCGCAGTTTCATCGTCATAGTGGCAAGCCTGAAAGACTCAACCCTAGTCCCATCCCCCCCCTTAAACAAAAAACTAAACCCTAAACCCTAAACCCTAAACCAGCAGCCAACACGATAACGGGGAGGCCCCTCGACGAGCACAACGTGCGGCTGTTGGATGCCGTGCACCCTCGAAGCTGGAAAGCGCCCCGCTTGGAGGACTTGGGCTCAGGGGGGCCTCAAAGTTAGTTGCATGCCCTGATGGGGGCCAAAATTAAACACTGAGGGTTTAGGGTTTAGGGTTTAGCACGGTGCAACCTGCAAAGATCAAGTTCTGCACCCAGAAACAAGGAAGCTCAGCTCTCAGTCCCAAGCTCCGCAGGGCGTGGTCTACGACCTCGTGGCCCTGGGCGCAGGGGCGGGTGGTCCCCTGGAATTTCCTTGAAGCGTTGATTGTGTTTACAGACCGTAGCCTTAAGCTTGAGAAAAGTCGAGATCGTGGTTGGATTGAAGTTTATTTTGCCGCACGACTTGTTTAGGCTGAGTGTTTGCAGAAGCTTCGCTTATGTGCGAGCATCCCCAGGGACCAAAAGGAGTTCTCTGCCATAGGAGAAAGTTGTGGCTTCAAGCCCTTGCCTCCTAAACTCACAAACCTTAAGCTCGGCTGGTTTTTTGGGATCTTTTTCCTCATTTGGTACATATACACATTTGTTCAAAAGGTTTAAAGGCCAACCCAGCAAACCCCCCTTAACCCTAAACCCTAAAGCCACAAAGGCCTGGTGTCGGCAAAGCAGTCGGCACGGCGAGGTGCAAAGAGCGCGCTGATCGAGCAGCACTTGGCCGGCGGGGACTGTTTCTGGGCTCCGAAAAGGAATGCTACGCGAGAAACCCTAAACCTACACCCTAAACCCTAAGCCCTAAACCCTAAACCCCAAGCCCTAAACCCTAAGCCCACCCGAAGGCGAGAGGTTGGAGACTTAAATTCTCGGAAGTTTCGCAACCCTAAAAGCCCGCAAAAAGGCAAGCAAACAGTATGTCGTTAATCATCTAAATCACAGTTTCCAAAACAACTAGCAGTCATAAGCTTAGCCACACGTTTACAAATCAAAAGCAGTTCTAAACTTAAGCAATAAAATGGCAGCAACAACTCCTCTAACAACAGCAACTCGTACTGCCCACACTTGTTGAAGCCCCTTGGCCCGAGGCTTGAACGTGGGCTGCGTTCCCTCCAAGGCTCTGTTGCGCTGCGCCCGCGCGGTGGCCGAAGCTTACTGGCGCTTGGTGCGGTTTGCTTGTAACCTGTATTATAGCCTGAATTAAGGTACTTCCAACCCTACATATAACTACCCATGAGACTTCAAGTTGGGGGGGGGGGTTTGGAGGGCTTTAGGGGTCAAGGGTTGGCGGTTTAGTGTTTCGGGCTTCGGGAGTTCGAGCCCCTTGAGAAGTGAGGGGATGCAGGATACCTGATCTCCCAACTTCCCTACTGCCGAGCTCACTCAGCCCTAAACCCTGAATCGTAAAACGCCCCGAGCCGATGTCACTACTTCCAACGAACCAACCGGCTTCATCAGCCTGTCCGCCCCTAGAACCCTAAACCCCAAACCCTGAACCCTAAACCCTGAACCCAGAACCCTGAACCCTGAACCCTAAACCCTAAGGAAGCGCGGCGCTCGGACCTGGGCTTCGTCAGCGACTGCCAGGTGGGTTCGGGGGTTTCGGGTTTAGGGTTTAGGGCTTGGGGCTTAGGGCTTAGGGCTTTGGAGGACTTTGGGGGGCTTACGGCGGCCGAGGGGGGGGTTTAGGGCTTAGGGTGTTTCAGGGGGGGTTTAGTGGGATTAGGCTTTGGAGGGTTTGGGGGGGGTCGAGGTGGTTTAGGGTTTAGGGTTTCAGAGGGTCAAGGGTTTGGTGTTGAGGGGTCCAGTGGTGGATTCAGGGGTTTGGTGCAAGGTTTCGGGTACAGGGTAAAGTCTGAGCCCCAAGCCCCGGCTTGAAATCCTTTCTTTTTAATGGTTGTTGTTGGAGAGGGAGCCTATTTTTATGGGTTTAGCGCAGGCCCAGGCATGCCCCACAGGTGCTAAGTCCTAAGCTTCCGAAACCCTAAACCCCTAAACTCAAAGCCCTTGCTGGAGTCTGACAGTCATCTTCAAGTTACCCTTGAACAAGGGAAGTGGCGCCCCAATGGCTCAGGCAAGTTTCCTTTTGTAAAGTTACGTAGGTGCCCTAAATCCTAGAGCCTAAAGCCCTGGATAAGCCCTTCAGGGATATAGAGCTACCCAGGTGAAGGTGGACTTCGCGAAAGTCATGGAGCGCATGCGCAAGCTTCGGGCGGACATCGCACCGGTTGACTCCCATGAGGCGTCCAAGCAGGTGTCTTGGCAGGCTCATGAGCAAAGCAGGATTCGATTTTAAAGCTCAAATTCAGAAATTCAGTCGTTTTGAAACATGATTTTCTTCGGCACGTGTCTTTTTTTCAGCTTTCTCATGTGGCCCAATGTGATGCAGAGGGGTTAGGCTTCCTCTTCCGCGGGTTGTTAGCTAACCAACCTAGGCGGGCGCCGATGTCTACATGGGCAAGGCGGCTTTCACCGGGAAGAACGAGTTGCAGGTCGGAGACACGACGCTGCGGTTTCGAAAGGCCGCCGCTTGGGTGTGGGACCTTGGAAGACTTGTTTTTCCGTTTTTGTTTTTGCTTTTTGTGCCTTGTTTAGGGGGGTCTGGAAGGATCCTGTTTAGGGTTTAGGGTTTTAGGGTTTAGGGTTCAGGGTTTAGGGTTAGGGTTTAGGGTTTAGGGTTTAGGGTGTGAAGGGACAGCCTAGGTCATTGCCACGGGCGGGAGGGCCAAAGTGCCTCCCATTCCTGGCTTGGACCAAGTGCCCTACTTGACAAATGCCTCGTTGTTCAACCTGACGGAGCCTTGGTACCCTTTTGCCCCCGCTTTTTGGTTTCAGGGCTCCCTTGTAAAGTAGACAACGCCACAAAGGGTACCTCTTAATTTCCCCCTGAACCCTAACCCCTAATTAACCCCTAAACCTCAAACCGCTTATCCCTAAACGCTGAACCCCCAATCCGATTCCCGGGCGACCAAGGAGCTTCCGCCTCGCTTCGTCATTGTGGGAGCGGGGCCCATCAGCTTAGAGATGGCTCAGGCTTTCCAGCGCTTCGGAAGCGAGGTGACCGTCCTGGAAGTCGCACCTCAGATCATGGGCCTGGAAGATGACGATGCGGCCAAGCTGCTGCGCCAAGTGTTGGAAGAGGAAGGAGTGAAGATCTGGACTGGATGCAAGATTGCTGCGGTGTCCTCCACACCGGCTGCAACGTCACAGGGCTGGCCCAAGATCTCCCTCAACATCGTCGTAGATGGCGCGGAGAAGACTGTGGACGGCGATGCTCTGCTCATAGCTGCCGGCCGAGCGCCGAACATCGAGGGGCTTGCCCTCGAAGCTGCTGGCGTGGACTTCACGCCTGGTGTCGGCATCAAGGTGGGCATCAGATGCAACTCGTGTTGCTTCTACCACGTGCGGCTGTGGGTGACCATGCCATAGGTGCCCCCTAAACCCTAGCCCCTAAACCCGAAACCATAAACCCTTTGAGGATTCTCAGAGCCAACTTGGCAGGTCAACGACGACCTGACGACCTCGAACCCAGACATCCTGGCCATCGGCGACGTCATCGACCGCCTGGACACGCGTTTCACGCACATGTCGGGCACAATGGCCGGCATGGCGGTCCAGAATGCCCTGTTTCCCGACAAGGGTCTGCCAGTCAACGCCCCCTCCTCGAAGCCAGATCATGCATGAGATCCGTTTTTGCTGGTTTTTGTACGGAACATAGAGGGAACTCTTGAGCCCTCAGCCATGCATGCCCAGCAGAAACTTTTCGTACCAAAGATGACGTTTAAAGCTCCCTGAACCCCAAAGCCCAAAGTCCTGCCCCCTCTCCCCCCAGCTCAGCCTCTAAACGCCCTGGAAAACCCCCCCCCCCCCCTAGCCCCCTCACCCCCCTACCCCCTCACCCCCCTCTCCCTCCTACCCATCCCCCTGCCCACCCAGGAAGCTGTCAGAAGTGGTGGTGCCGCGTTGCACCTACACGGAGCCGGAAGTTGCCTCCTGCGGCATCTCCAACGAAAAAATCGCCAGCTGCCGACACAAGAAGTGTTCGGGTTTAGGGTTTAGGCTTCGGGGTTCAGGAATTTACAGTTGAGGGGGTTCAGGGTTTCGGGCTTCGGGTGTTCAGCTTGAAAATTAGGGAGGCATAGAGTTGCTGTGCTCGGAGAGGCAATCCCCCACTCATGTGAAGGAGGGCTCAGGGTTCCACCTGCAACCTCGAGTGAAGACCCTAAACCCTAAACCCTAAACCCTAAACCCTAAACCCTAAACCCTAAACCCTAAACCCTAAACCCTAAACCCTAAACCCTAAACCCTAAACCCTAAACCCCAGACAGGCCGCGAAGCAGGGCATCGAGGTGGATGTGTACACCTCCGGCCTTCAGCACAACGACCGCGCAATTCTCGAAGGCTCCAACAGAGGCTCCGGAGCAGTTAGCTTCAAGCCGAGGCCCATCCAAGGGTTTAGGGTTTCGGGCTTAGTGTTCAGGGTTTCGGGTTTAATTAGGGTTTAGGGTTTAGGGTTTAATTAGGGTTTAGGGCTTAGGGTTTAGGATTTAGGGTTTGGGGTTTAGGGTTCAGGGTTAAGGGTTTGGTTGAAAGGGTGTAGGTCCCCTAAGCCTGAAACCCAAAACCGGTCAGGGCTTATGGTGTCAGTGGCGAATTTCTTGAAGATTTGTAAGTAGGGTTTATGGGTCAGGTAACCTACAGCCTTACTTAAGGCACTTAATCCTAACCTAAACCTTAGTAGTAGTTGAGTGAGTACACTATACACTTTTTGGGATAATCCCCTATAGAACTGAAAGTGTACACTTTTTTGGGGCTTATGAACTCAGCAACTAAGAAACCCTAAACCAGAAAGAGATGAATATCCTTCAAGTAGGACTTTACTTCCAGGATCCCGTTGCAACTTGTCCAGATCCGACCTTCATCTGCGTCCTCTCAGGGTGTTGGGTCCTCCTGTGGTTAAGGGTTCCGGTTTAGGGCCTAGCTTAGGGTGTTGGGATGGAAATCCTCGATTTTACTATTATTTCGACCCTGATGAGCCAGGCTCCCATCAGACCCCGAACAGGACTGACTTGAATTGAACGGACGAGGCCCTTGTTTCCCTATAAAACCCCCAAAAATCTTTAAAACCAAGGAGGCTACGTGAAGATCGTGTGCCGAAAGGGTACGGAGGCCTTGACAGCTCGGGGCGGGGGCGCTGGCCTTCTCAAACCCCTAGCGAACCCATCTTTCTTGAGAATTTTCTACCCTACAACCCCCAAAAGCCACTAAAATCCCTACAGCCCCTAAAGCCAAACTATGATGATATGGGGGGGTTATCATTGCTGGATCCCCAATCTTGCGTAGAGCGCCAGTGAGCCCTGAAGCCTAAACCCCTCAAGCCCCTGTACAACCCGAAAACCCTGAACCCCTAATCGCCAGGGCATGCCTAACACCCTAAAACCTCCCCAAACCCTAAGCCCCGAAAACCCTACAATTCCCAACTGTCATGCCTGGAGGATGCGCAGGTTCGTCCAGAGTTTTGAGCTTTTAGTCTAGGTTTTAGGGAACCCGTTGCAGGAGATCCTCGGGGGCACCGTCGTCTCCGAGGGGGCTGGGGAGATGCTTGCCGAGATCACGTGCCCTGGCGTCGACCGTGAGAAGCTCCCAAACACGTGGCAAAGATTCTGGCCTGAAAACCAGAACCCCTAGTTTTGAGGGCATATAGTTATAGGGTTTGGGGTTTACGGCCTGCACCCTAACACCCTAAGCCCTAAACCACTGCCCAACCCAAAACGAGGCCCAACTAAGGTTAATTCAGAGGTATGTGTTTGTTAAGGTCTGAGTACGCAGTTTTAGGATCATGAGCAAACCCACTACACCTAAACCCGGCAAACCTCTAAACCGTACCTCCAAACCCCAAACCCACTACACCTAAACCCGGCAAACCTCTAAACCGTACCTCCAAACCCCTCAACGTGGTCTAGGCTCTGTGGTTCTGTACTGTAAACCCCGAAACCCCCGCCCCCAAACCCCCATAAACCCCACCTAAACCCCTAACCCCCCCTAAACCCCCTAAACACCCTCCCCAAACCCCCCAAAATCTCCTTAAACCGAAAACCCCATAAAACCCGTAAGGTTGGCAGCCCAGCACCGCTTGGGCCTCTCGCAAGTGGATGGGCCCTCAGTCAGTCGGGCTGTCGAGTTGCGGGGGCATTTTTGTTGGCTTACACGTAGCAGCTGGGATGTTCCCCCCTTATGCTAACAGTCCATAATAGGGACTATAACAGGGGGTACTATAATCCCTATTTCAGGCTGTTAGTATAAGGGGGAACATCCCAACTTAGCAGAGAGTAGAGAGGGAAATTCGAGGGGCTGACGGCTAAACATAGGGTTTAGGGGGTTTTCGGGCTTTAGGGTTTTCGGGTTTGGGGGTTTCAGGGTTTTAGGGTTTCATAGGGTTTTAGGGGTTTAAGGGGTTGAGGGCTTCAGGGCACCCAGCCGGGAGCGCGATTCGATCGCGGCCTACATCGAAGGGCCTCCATCGCGATCTGTCTGAGGCACGCACCGTGCACCCGTACCCGACCTTGGGGGAAGGCATCCAGCAGTGTGCCTTGAACCTAGGCCATGATTGGAAAAGTTCTTGATTCTAAATGGCTGCAACAACCCAATACCCTGGACAGCTTGACCCTAAATGCCACACAATTAGACAAGCTTATCAAGTGAAGTTTCCTCACGCGCAACCATTGAGGAACTACAACCGGGCGCGCTGGGCCAAGATGGAGAAGGTTGTCGCGGCAGTTTTTGGGGTCTCGAGGGCACCAGGGCTTTTAGGGCAATTGTAGGGTTTTGTGATGTGATTACGGCTTTTTGGGCGCCGTTGGAGGTACGGATGGATTTAGGGCCTTTTGCGGTTTTCCGAGTTTAGGGGCTTGGTTTTGGGGCTTTAGGATTTAGGTGCTTTGGAGGGGGGGGTTTAGTGTTTGGGTTGTTGGTGGTTTTGGGGTTCTAGGTTTAAGAGGATCACATTCACGAATATTTTTCAGAGGGTTTAAGGGCCATCTTAGGGTTCTATGGCTTAGGGTTTCAGTTCTGTTGGGCGGCCCCAAACCTGCTGACAGCGTCCCCAGAGCCGGAGACGTCAAAAGGCGCTTCGGGCCAGTGGAGTGTATTGGGCTTTGCACCCTAAACCCTAAACCCTAAACCCTAAACCCTAAACCCTGAACCCTGAACCCTGAACCCTTTGTCCGGACGTTCTCACCTTGCACTGTGTGCTGCAGGCCGGCTACCAGAAGTGCGACGTGGCAAGATCTGGTGTTGCTTACCAACGGCCGGGCCATTGTGAGTCGAATTCTTCCAACCCGCAAACCCCAAATCTGAATCGTAAAGGGCCCTCAGAGCCTGGAGCATAAAGCAAGCACGAACGGAACCCTTCACCTGAAATTAATCACCCTAAAGCCCCTGAACCCTAAACCCTAAACCCTCAAGACCTGTATAAATAGAAATTGTATAGCTTCACCAAGCACAATGTTGCCTTCCAAACAAGAGCCAACATCAGTGATGTTTGGCCATATTGCTCCTCTACAAACCCCCAATCAGGGCCCAAAATGGGATTTTCGCTAGTGTGGCGGCCTTGGAAGCCTCGGAATGCTGATTCTTCACCATTTTGATACAGCGCCGAAACATCGCTAGTTTGGTGGCCTCGGGAAAACCCTCCCCCCATGGCCACTTTGGTAAGTTTTGACCATTTTGGGCCTTCACAATCCCTGAGTTGAGGCGAAAACATAGGGATTTTCCTTGGGTTGACGGCATGGAAACCCTCAAAATGGCAATTTTTTATGGTTCACAAGCCCTGAATTAAGGCAACAAACATAGAGTTTGGCGGCCTTGGAAACCCCGCAACATGGCAAACTTTTTGTGTTTTTGACGATTTGGGCCGTGACAAACCCTGAGTTGGCCAAAACTGCCAATTTTTCGTGACTTTTGCTAAAACGTAGGCATTTTCGCTGCTTTGGCGGCCTTGGAGAAGCCGCCTCCCCTGACCCAGCATGACCCAGGCTGCGGATTTCGAAGGGCTCCCTTGCCGCTGCCAACCAGAGGCAGTTGCTCCACTTTGGGCGCTCGAACCTCACTCACCAGTAGCCACGCAGTCTAAGAGAAGGCGTAGTCCAGGCACGGATGCGGTACTTTGGAGCATCGCGGAATTTAACTGCGTTATGAGGACCACAACATGGCCCTGCCGACCACAAGCCGGGGACCTCGTGGTGGGTGCAAGCACCAGGAAGTTTTGAACATGGGGATGGGGCTTGTAGGGTTCATAAGGCTTTGGAGCGGGCATGTTCGGTGCCCTGCTGATTGAGAAGTCACGTGTCCACAAAAGTTCTGACCTATCAACTCTACCCGACCCTCGTGCTAGTCACGGAAGCCTACACAGGCTCTTGAGCCAGGTGTGCGACTTGACTTGCCTCAGTGTGGTCCGAACCCCAAGCCCTAAAATGTAATTTTCTGCGTGCCGGCTCCAAGTTCTTCATCGACGGAGTGAAGTACCACGTAAGTGGTGAACTGGGGGCCGGTTCCTTTGGAACGGTCTTCCAGGCCGCTGGGCCTTCGGAAGGAGATGGCTGTTGTGGAAGAGAGCAGCATGAGCCCAACATGAATCCGCCGATTGCATGGACTACTTGAGCAACCTGCTGGTACCTTTGGGGCTCCGCGCAAACCAAAATCCACAACAAACCGTCTCTCCAAGGCTTTCAGCAGGTTTAGAGCTGGTAGCGTCAAGGCTAAGCACATTTGTCTGCCGCTGTTGGTCATGCAAGCGCAACTCCGCAACACTTTACACGATGACCTCAGCATATCTTGGGAAGCCGTTCGGATTTGAATCCAGCAGGCCCAAGGCATTTTCGACACTTTTGGGCTTTCACAAATCCTCAGTTAAAACCAAAGCATAGGGATTTTCGCTAGTTTGGCGGCCTTGGGAAACCCCCCCAAATGGCCAATTTAAGTGATTGTTTACCATTTTGGGCCGTAGTTTGTGGGCCTTGGAGAACCTCTTTAATTAGTATCCCTTTAGTTGTCACCAGCCCAAATCTAAGGCCAAAAACATAGGGATTGCCGTAAGGGCTTGACAAAATCGAAAAACCCATGTTCTTTAGCTTTTTTTGGCCAAAGCAGCCTTTAGTAAGCTAAGGTCGTGTCCCACTTTGGCGCTGCATGGTGATCTTGCTGCAGCCATTTCGACTTGAGCTGTCGCTGCATGCATCTCACACACACACACACCCACCCACAAACAATACACACCGAGATGGGCCTTGCAAAGTTCAGCAAAGAATGATGAGACTTTGCACTTGCAGCAGCTAAGGCTGCATCTCCTTGAAGAAAGCCCAAAGCCTGCTGTATGTTCTTACTCCATCTCTATTGTCGCTGGCCTGATGAGCCATGTTCTGGCAAGCCGACTGGCCATGCGAGCCATTCTGGCAGGACGTGCCATGCCCTCGTTTGCTGGCAAAAGCAAAAACCGCGCAAAATTCCGGACACAAACCCTATACACGCGCAGAGCAGAGTAGGCGCACATGTCCCGTGCATCATTGCTGTCTCGCGTGGAGAATTTTCTTGTCCCAAATCGTCCTGAGCCAAGATATTCCGACATGCCAAGGCAGCGACCTGGCCGCAGTGAAGAGTCCAGCAGGCGAGGGTCACATGACCCTAGCTACACACATGCACATAGTCGTTTTTTCCGCGACAGTGCTGTGATCACGCAGCCGAGGCACGGCTTCGGACACAGACTCGAACTCCTGAATCTTGGCTGCAAGATGCGTCACCGTCTCGCCTTCGAATTGGTCACGTGTTGCAAGACCCCAGCAGCTGCTGCGCATGCCAGGTCGAAGAACGGGCAAGAGCTTAGTTTCGCCCTAACAGACGCATTCGTGCGCAACAAGCCGTCAAAAAGCGACTTGCGCCTCGCTTAGCTTTGCTTGCTTGCGTAGGCGTGAATTGTCCGTTCGCAACAAATAGAAGCCCGCTGACCGATTCGAACATTGCGTCGGCCGATTGTGCTCGAGCTCTTGGGTGGTAGCGCTTTCACTTCCTACCACAGTTAGCAAGCCTGCCATTCATCATCTGGCTCGATACGCGTGAGGCCGTTTCAGCTGATTTGACAGATATAGGATACGTCGATTCACTCATGTCCACCACACACCGGGCAGGTGTCGCGCATGCTAGAGGAAGACTACATCTGGGCCGCCGCGGATTGGCTGGGCCCAGAGGCACGGGGTCATCGGTCACGATGGAGTTCAAATGGAGGCATACAACTACACCGTGACGTACCAGGTGCGTGACACAACATGTTCAGACATAATCCGGACGTCGGTCATGATGGTGACGACATGCGAAGGAGCCACACCTGCCGCACTTCCGGTTCCGGGGCTCACCAGAGCGGAAGCAGAGGCCAGGTGCAGAAACGAGCGCCTGTCACATTTCATGGAAGACACATGAGGCACACTACCTGGAAGAAGAGATGCAGGCCTACTTGGAGGAAGCCGGAGTTGCAAAAAAGAAATGGCGAGGCGACGACCGCGCGCCAGGCAGCACGCGCTTCCGCGGGACAGCTGAGAACCCGAGCGCCGGCCTCAGAAAACTGAAGCATGTGTGCATCTTGCACCGCTTGCCAAAGCAAGTCAGCTTGGCATGAAAGCGAGCCTCCCCAAGCCGCAGAAGAACCGCAAGCGGAACCCGAGCCAGGCAGCACAACCCCCAAAAAAGGCAATCCTCAGTTGGAAACACACGTCGTGTAGCATGCACAGGCGAGGGAGAGCTTCCTCGACCAGCTTTTGCAGGCATCTTAGCGGTGCAATGTGACAACCCGCGAGTCAATCCGTAAGTGACCGAATCATGTCCAAGCGTCGGCGCGCCATGTGTTTTGCAACTAGGACGACGTTGTCGGAAGTCAGAGACTTCTACTACGAGCGATACGGCCTGTGAGCTCTTACGCCGTTGCCGACAACAAGAACCCGCGCGGACAAGACGAAGGGCTAGCGGCCACTATCCTCTGCGTGCATGCGTGCGGTCAGAGCGTGCGTGCAGCACCTCTGACATCCTTTGGCTCAGCAATAGGTCGAGAAACTCATGTGGAAGATTTTTCTGGATCGATCCAAATTCCAATCAATGTAGCAGAGAATTGACGTCGAAAATGTTCTGGCGGGGATGCCCTGGTGAGGATGCCCTGGCGGGGATGCCCTGGTGGGGATGGTGGGGAATGCCTGCGTCGTGGTGGGGATGCCTGGCGAGGACGCCCTAGGGCGCACCTTTTTTTCTTGAGCAAGTTTTTTTTTATCAAGCTGCGCTTGCATTTGCCCTCGAATGGATGAGGAGCCGGATGGGACACGCGCGAAACGCCAAACAAGAACAGCACCGGGGTGCCCAGCTGGGTTCTTGTGTGAGTGCAAGCATGATTCATTATTAACAACATAGCAGAAGAATTGATAGACTTGGATGTACGGCGAAGCATGCACGCGCTGAAGCCTTCCATGTTCGGCTTCCCAAGAGTGGTGAGGTTCGAATGGTTGGGATTGTCGTGTTAGTCACCGAAGGTTCTTGCAGAACTAGCAGAACACATCCAGAGTGTCCATAGCTATCTGCGAATCGTGGTGCTGAACAATCCAACTGGCCGCGCAAGGCACCTGTAAGGGGTCAGAACCTTCTGCAGGAGTTTTGAGGGCCTGGATTCACGTTAGGCCAACACTCAACTATCCCCAAGACACCTCCCGGTTCCCCCAAACCTGAGCTTGCTCTAAGGGAAGGAGGCCCTACCGATTCTACTGGGCTGGAGCCTCGGGAGGGGGGCACGAATTTTTGTGCCTTGCCCACGAATTTTTGTGCCTTGCCCGCCAATTTTTGTGCCTTGCCCACCAATTTTTGTGCCTTGCCCACGAATTTTTGTGCCTTGCCCACGAATCCTTGCCCACGAATTTTTGTGCCTTGCCCACGAATCCTTGCCCACGAATCTTGGTGCCTTGGCCACGAATTTTTGTGCCTTGCAACAAAAACGTTCGGTCAAAACGCTTCGGTCAAAACTTCGGGTCAAAACGTTTCGATACAAAACGTTTCGGTCAAAACGATATTGAGACCCAAACCCTATACAATTTCTATAAACCCTAAACCCTAAACCTTAAAAGCCCTAAACCTGAAACCCTAAATCCTAAACCCTAAACCCTACCCCCCCAAACTCTGAACACCAAAAATCTCAAGCAAGCGGATACAGAGGCTCTGGGCATCCCTAGGAGTCAACAATTGAGGGTTTAGGGTTTGGGGTTTGGGGTTTAGGGGTTAGGATTTGGGGTTTGGGGTTTAGGGTTTAGGTTTTGGGGTTTTGGGTCTAGGGTTTAGGGCTTAGAACCCAACTTCTGGGCCTGCCATTCCATATGCCCTGAATGCTGAGGGCTTAGGGCTTCGGGAGATTTGGGTCTGAAGCCCTTTTGCCGCTCAACTCTCGTTCATCCCAAGGCCACCGAAGTCATTTGAGCTAATTCTTTCTCTTTGGCAGTGAGAGAATAATCGCGGTCCGTTGCCTGATACCTTCGAACCATGAAATTTCCCGAGGAAAGCCAGTTTAGCTTGGGGTTCGGGTTTCTCAGACGCTTAGAGCTCCCAGAGGAACGGCCCGTAGCTCCAAAATTGATTGTTTGAGGATGTTTGAGGGCTCAGCTTTGCAAGTTGAACCCCCTCAACCCTGATCCCCAAACCGAGGAGAAGCCGGCGCAGTGAGAATCGAACATCTGCCAGAGTGTGGGGCAACTGTGCCACATCGCCAGAGCTTGTCCAGAGAATTACTAATACCTGAAGCGGATCTAAGGTTCGACGGAGGCCGATCTCGCAAAAGCGATTCAGTACAGAACGTAGGGCTTGGGCTTAGGTTGCTTTGCTCAGCTTTTCGCAGCTCGCACTTGGTGAGCCGCCATTCTCGCGCAAGGCGTGCCAAAATGCCACAGAACAGAGATCCTGCGGATTGCGAGACCTTCAGAGCCTCCAACGCAGAATCGCAACCTCCCATCCCAAACCCTCAGTCCCTAGCCAGCAGCCCCAACCTTACTTACCCTGAGCAGCTCAACCTGAAAAGGACCAAAACATCCGGAAGGTTCTACCTTCAACTTTGTAGAGTTTCTTGGGATCGGGGTGGTCTTTGGGCTTCTCAAGAATCCCCTTCGGCAATTTTGGGTTTAGGGTTTAGGGTTTAGGGTTTAGGGTTTAGGGTTTAGGGTTTAGGGTTTAGGGTTTAGGGTTTAGGGTCTTTACATAGACGGAAGCAAGACGCAGCATGTAGGGGTTTTCGGGGCTTCGGGCTCCATCATCTTGAGCTCTACATGTCCCGTACAATTTGGCAAGTAATATGACTTGATCCGTTGTCAAGGGGAATGGTTGCCCTAAACCCTAAACCCTAAACTCTAAACCCTAAACCCTAAACCCTGAGCCCTAAGCCCTAAACCCTAAACCTTAAACCCTAAACCCTAAACCCTAAACCCTAAACCCTAAACCCTAAACCCTAAACCCTAAACCCAACTTCTTAGTTTGAGCCTGTTGCCTTGCAGGCGAGAGGAGCTTGTCTCCATTCAGCTTCATGCGACAGGGCTGCCACAACGGGCCGTCACAGGTTTAGGGTTTAGGGCTTAGGGTGGGGGATACCCAGCGTAGTAGTACCCTTACTTGTTTTCTTTTGGTTAGGAGCGCTCATATGAATTGTATTAACCAAAGAAGGGCACCATCGTTTTTTCGGGGCAAGCAAACACAGCAACCCTAAACGCTAAAGAGCTAAGCTGCAGGAGTGTCCTCGCCTTCTGGAGTTGCTCCAAGAAGGGGCAATGGCCGTGGCGCTCAGGGGGACGGCAGTAGAAGAACTAGAGTTATGCTACCGGGCAGGAAGGTGTAGTCATCTTGTCATTGCATCTGCGCATGGGAGTGGCCCAGGGCTCAGGGGGAGATGGAGGAGAAGAGGGTTGGGGGGGGGGGGGGGGGGTTTGGGCTTGGGTCTTAAGGCTCAGCCAGGTGGGTGGCTAAGGGGATGGGTGGTGCCAGTGTTTGAAACGACACTCAGAGAAACTGCAAGCCCTTCACCCTAAAACACCAACCCCAAAGTCCAGCCCTAAACCCTAAACACTGAACCCTAAACCCTAAACCCCATGAACCCCATGAACCCCATGAACCCTAAGCTCTAGACCCGGCATAGTGAGGCATACCAGAAAGGCTTCATCAACCTGGCCCGTCCTCCTCGCCATGGCCTCGGCCTGGAGAGTGTATGTGATTTAGGGTTTAGGGTTTAGGGTTTAGGGTCTAGGGTTTAGGGTTTAGGGTTTAGGGTAACCATTTAGGGTTTAGGGACCCTCTTTGCCCTCCAGTTCTATGGGTGTTCTACCTACTAATTACAGGGGTAGTTGCTACTAAACTGTAGGTCAACAGAGACCCAGGTAGCATTTCCTGCAACCGACCCAGAGGCGAAAGGCCGGAGTCCATCCTGAAATTGAATGGCTTCTGTCTCACCGATGTCCAATCCATGTGGGGCTTCTCGCCCAGTATCTCAGTGTACTCGCCCGGCTGCGGCAAACACAGGATGGGTGTAGGTAGCGTGAGGCTCATCGATGTCTTAGCAGAAGCTGATGTCGGCACCGCAGATCGCAAGCCGATCAATATTTTTAAGTTTAGATCCTCACTCTCAAATCGCTCGGTCAAGTTTCGCAATGCAGGGCAGAAGGATGCCGTGCCCAGAAACATGAAACCGATCCAGCATCCATTTGTCAAACCTCATGTCAACCTACACTGTGAAACCTTAAAGCCCAAGCGAGATGTTTCGGTCTCGCCCTTTCAGGATTCCTGCCTTGCAATCTGCCGCTTTGCAGCTTCAGGGTTTGGGTCCCTGGGTCTTTGTATCATCCCTCCGCCCAAAACAACGCCTCGGAGCCGTAAAGATGTAAGCCCGAAACCTTAGCTTAAGAAGCTCCTACACACTAAAGCCTCACGCCCGAATGGCAGGCGTCACCATCCGCTTCATCCGCACCATTGAGGCCAGTGTTGAAGCTGCTTGCCAAGAGGTTTGTTGAATTTTCAGGAGCCCCAAGGTGGGTTTGGGTTTTGTCAAACTTCCAATGGTCAGTCATTTTGTTGGGGTTCTACAGTGGTTACACCTTTGCGGTTTCAGACTGAAGGTTTCAGATTGAAGGCTCGGGGTTTGCAAGAAAGCTCTCTAAATCGTGGTCCCGTTTTGGGTACCCTAAGCAAGAGGGGCCGCCTTAAAATAAGGACCCCAAAAGGCCATATGTTTGAGAAGTGATAGATGTTGTTCAGGGTGGCATGCAACTGGGGTTGAAAGCGTTGGGGGCTGCGATTCTGGGAACAGCTAACCACTCCATGTGCGCTGCCAGCCCGCCTACCCTCTGCGCGAGCTCCTCACCGCAGCGCGACAGGACCCACCCGAGCTGCTCTTCTGTTGTTTCCACGGTCTTTTGGTGATCACGGCTGTTTGAACCGTGGCGAAGTCATAGGAAAGTGCTGCGGTGAGATTCAACTGTGAGGCCCTCCAAGCTTGAGCCCTAAAGCCTAAGTACAGGATTAGGGTTTAGGGGTTTAGGGTTTTAGGGGTTTAGGGTTCAGGGTTCAGGGTTCAGGGTTCAGGGTTTAGGGTTTAGGGTTTAGGCTAACCCCATACCCTCCAAGCTCAACGATCCACTTTGGACAAAACTTCGACTTGCAGGATGGTCCCTCTGGTACCCAGCGTCGGCTTCTGCATTTTCCGCGCGCGAAGAAGGTTGCAGGCACTTACTTACAGAAAACCATTTGTGGAGCCCAAGATTTTGAGCAACAGAACTATGAGGGAATAGGAAGGATATTGGTATCGAAGCCACAGCACAGATGAGCCTCAGAACAGATCTCATACTTGAAGGACAAGTATCAACAAAACAGACATACGATGTGAAACAGCTGCGGCCTCTAATGGTTTGTAGGTCTGTTCTGGCGCGTGTAACCATGGTGTAGGCTTTTACGCATCCTCACGGCTGAACCCATAGCTTTTGATAGAACCTTCGCAGACAGGCCCCAGAATAATTCTTCGCAATGTCGTTCAATGAGAAATATGAGCTCTGTCCATCCAGGTTTGGAAAAAGAGTTTTTATCCTAAATTTCTTCACGTTGGGGTGACGGCTCTTTTTGTGAGCAAAAAAATAGTCTAAGCCGATATGCGTCATTTGGTTCTTTCATCAAAATCAAACATATTTCTATCGGATTTATGATGATTCGTCATCTATTTGTTCGCAAAAAGTGATTTTTAAATTAGATTGACTAATCTAATGAGTTGATCGGAAGCACTCGATCGGTTGATTGGCTGATCGGTTGGGCGGGTCGGAATGATGTTTGATTTTGGAACATAAAGATTAATTTTTGCTTTCTTCCCTCAGAATATTGCAATGGTAGGGATAACACGAATGAAAAGAATAAACACCATTTCTTCTGGATGTGTTTCTCTCTCATCTTTCTTTTTTTACGATGAGTCTTTTATTGTTGTTTTTCTCTCGGTCATTCTTCTCTCTCTATTTTCATCGTCTCTTATATATATTCTTCTCTATGTCTACTCTATAAAACGCTACGGTCAAACCAGCCCTATGCGGTGCGTCACGCCTCGGAGTGCCCCAGCCCCAAAATTTTCCGGAAATTTCTGGACCCCGGCGAGCAAGCCGCTTTGGCCTACCCGGGACCCAAAATTTCCGGGAAATTTTGGGGCTTGGGCTGTGCCCTTTGAAAGGCTGGGCCTCTTCGACGGCGCTGCATGCTTTCATTGCATGCTTTCATTGTTTTCAAATGTGCTTTGTTTTGTGGCATTACAAAGCTAAAATGTTAAACAGGACTTTTACTTCACTTCCAAGATGAGCGCATCACCTGGCATTACCAGGATATTACGAGCGTGCCTTGTTTTATGGCATTACAAAGCGCATTACCTGGCATTACCAGGTCGTCGTCGTCGTGCGTCGTGGTCGTCGTGGTCGTCGTGGTCGTCGTCGTCGTCGTCGTCGTCGTCGTCGTCGTCGTCGTCGTGCGTCGTCCGTCGTGCGTCGTCCGTCGTGCGTCGTGCGTCGTGGGTCGTGCGTCGTGCGTCGTGCGTCGTTCGTCGTCGTCGTCGTCATCGTCGTCGTCGTCGTGGTCGTCGTCGGGTGTCGTCGTCGTCGTCGTCGGGCGTCGTCGTCGTGCGTCGCGCGTCGTGGGTCGTGCGTCTTGCGACGTGCGTCGTGCGTCGGGCGTCGGGCGTCGGGCGTCTTTCGTCGGGCGTCGGGCGTCGGGCGTCGGGCGTCGGGCGTCGGGCGTCGGGTGTCGTCGTTGTCGGGCGTCGTCATCGTCGTGTTTCGGGCGTCGCACGTCTCGCGCGTCGTGCGTCGTGGGCGGCGTCGTCGTCGTCGTGCGAAG